AGATAGATAGATAGATAGATAGATAGATAGATAGATAGATAGATAGATAGATAGATAGATAGATAGATAGAGCTCCTGTGTGTGGCTGAATGTGAGCGTTGATGATTGGAAGACATCTTCTGCCTCCATTTATTTGAGTTCATGTTCATGTGGATTTAAAGACATTTATATTAGTGGAAAAAAATTGCAGGGGGGGGGGGATATAAAAAAATAGTCTAATCAACCAAAACTTTCGGGACCCCCACGCAGTACCTCCAGGACCCCCTAGGGGTCGCGGACCACCTGTTGAAGACCTCCACTCTATTCCATCATTAATACTAATAGTTTCTTGTGTTTAATGTGGACAATTTACCAAAATAAAGTGATTGATTGATTGATTGATTGATTGATTGATTGATTGATTGATTGATTGATAACTATACTTTTCAAATGAAAACACGTAGAAAGGATAATGACTGGACTTCATAACTCACCCGTCAGGTCACTGCTCTCGATGCGTTTGAGGTCCGCATCCACCCAGAACAGCTTTCCCTGCCGGTTGTCCAGAGCCAGAGCCACCGGTCTGATCAAACCGGTGGTAAACAGAGACTCCCTTTCTGTTCCGTCCAGACTCGCTCCTTCGATCTTGGCTGAGCGCTCCTGCACCGTAGTGAAATACATGTACCTGCAGAAACGGGAAGAAATATCCACCTGGATGATGAGGACCATGGATCTGTAATCTAAAAATTGATCTAAATACCGCGTGATCCTCATCATAATCTGAATTTCAAAATGCTAATTCATGCAATTAAAGGGGATGTATTATGCAAAACCAAGTTTTTAATCATTTGATTGTGTACATTTGGGACTGTGGAGGGCCTATCAGCAGGCAAAGTGTGAAAAAAAATGACTGGGTCATGTTTTTGTGGGCCGCCTCAGTCTGAATCCAGGAGATAAATCAGGAGGTTTCAGGAGTGGGTAGTTTCTGACGTCATTAGCTCTAGCTCATTAGAATATTCCAGCCTTTCACCTGCATGTTGCCCCCCCCCCCTCAGCTTACTCCCCTATCTGTGGAGACGTCCTGGTAGCGTTAGCGTTAGCATGGTAGCGTTAGCATGGTAGCGTTAGCATGGTAACGTTAGCATGGTGGCGTTAGCATGGTGGCGTTAGCATGGTAGCGTTAGCGTGCCGACGTGGGCACACCTCCCTGTAGAAGTGGGTGGATTGCCTGTGTCTCATTTGCATTTAAAGAGACAGGCACTCCAAAGCGAGCGCTCTGAACGGGGCTGTTTTGGGTTAGGGTTAGGGTTAGGGTTAGGGTTAGGCAGGGGGACTGAACTGCTATTGGGCTTCATCCTTATGGG